TCTCTATCTTGCATTACAGAGAGTGAGGGCCATCCAACCTTAGCATAAAACTTACATGATGAGTTATAATTACCACCAGTAATAAATCTTGAAGCACAATGATAAAGAGTCGATGCATGCGTGTATAAAATGTCGCCATAATCCACAATGAAAGTTGCCCTAATAAGTGTTTTCCTATAATCCAGTGAGAAACTTTACCAGAGTCCCTTCAGAGTGAAAACAAGTCTGATCACCAGAACTGACACTCTGGCTGCTCTCCCTGCCTCCCGGACAGGTACTGCTTTGTTACCGGGACCAGGTGGCGGCGGCTCCTCCATCCGTCTCCGTGGCAGCTAGAGGTGAAACTCCCATCAGCCAAATGAATTAGTCTCATTGGCTGGGTAATTTATCGATGTTTCCCTCTCCTGGGGATAATGGGTGTTCGGGGCGGCTGATTGATGAGGCGGCGTGGCGCGTGTCTGCCTCCACAGCGTGTCAACCACAGTCAACCCTCAGTCAAGTCCGGTGCGTCGTGAGTCGCCGGATTTGACTTATGTAACTCCGAGACCGACGGCCTCCCGAACATCAAATATGTTCGTTTGACAGGCCATTAATAGATTATGTGAAAGCCTGTTTTATGTCAGAGCTGCAGTAACTTAAAGCCTTCAGATGTCAGGAATAAGTGACCTCACCGGGAGGTAATAGATAAGCTGAAATCTGCACTGCTTGATCACTGTTTAATTGGTGCCTATGCAGAAGAAGCAGATATATTATGATAAAGCGTTCTCGTATCAGATTCGTACATCCTCAGCGGCTCAATACTGAAACCATGTTTGTGGGTCTGATATACATATTTTAATGCCTGTGGAAGCTGAGAGGCCCCAAGTCCTGGGAGTAAACATTATCTGGCTGGTGCAGTAGGTGGACGGAGGTAAAAGAGGACAGCCGGAGACATTTCCCCCGCTGCCTTGTAGCGCTGATCTGCCTGTAAAAAGGCCTTGAGTCTCTGGAGAAACGGTTTTCCAGCAGCCAGACTTCTGCCTCCATCTGTGACACTGACAAAATAAATGCTACTTGCTAATTTTAAAAGCGTGACCCAATATGTGTCCCGCTCTGCTAATGCGTGCTCTTGACCTCCTGCAGCTGCATCCAGAATGTCACAGGTCCCTGACATACAGCCCCTTTCCCCCTCCATTAAAGGATACCTGATCCGGCGCAGGCTTTCACCGATGAAAGAGAGCGAGCGGCGTGCGTAGGAAAATGGGCTCACAATGGTTCTTAACTCTCAGAGCCACTGAATGGCATTTATGAAGAGCCCTCTAGTCTTTCTCTTTACCATCACAAAGTGGCTCTCCTCTTTATGGTGTAAGAGATACTACAGATAGCAGCGGAATTGCGGGGTTTGATGTAGGAGGGCTTCAGCGAAACCAAGAAAAAGAGAATCAAATAGCTATTGTGTGCATGTACACGTTCACTCACCACCCAATAACCAAATATGAGAGGCTTCTGCTGGCATCTTACCGGGAATAGAAAAGTTTATCTGTGTTCGTGTGTGTGTGTGTGGGCGCCACTTCCCTCCTTTCAGTCTGTTTTACTTGTCTCGGCTGGCAATCTGCACATCTGTCTGCTCTCTGATCACAGAGGGAAGAGCTCCGCAGACGCAGCAGGACGTTCGTAGCCTGAAAAAACGAGCAGATGTGCGCCGCTCTCGAGCATCCTCTCACGCTCACCCGCAACATCCTCAAATGCTTCTCCTAACCTTTATTCACGCAGCAACTGTTCCGCTGAGCGTGCATGCTGTTTTCCAGCCTGCTTCGTATTCAGACCTGCATCTGCAGTGTGGAGGGTTTGCCTAAAGTAAGATTTCCTAACTTTTGTTGATGAGCAGCCACCGTGTCCAAACGTAGTAAAGACAAGGTGGTTCTTATATTTCACTTGATCACCTTTAACCAGACACCGTTATTCAACAATGATACTAAATATTTTAATAATCGTCTCAAACTCAGGCTCACAACCTCGTCACACATACACATTTTTAATGCAATTGAAGCCAGTGTCAAAGATTTTTCTAATATTTTCTTTTATCTGCACGGCTACCTAATTAGATTTTATCTGTACAAGGTCAAATACCTGCTGCGAGCACGATAAAGTCAGTAAAATGATTCGACAGTGATTCACACAAATCAACACAAAAAAGGTGGATCTACTGTCAACTTCACTCTTTCAGGAGCATCGACACTGAATGCATTTGTGATTATGCTTAAATTGCTTTTTAAACTTTAAACATCTTGCATCAAAGGTGCAAAGGAATATATTAAAATGGTGAAATAATGTAAAATGTAGAAACTGTGACAATAATGACAAATATTTGTAAAATAGTGATAGTTTTAGCTGATTTTAAAACAAAACTGGTATTTTGCAATCACACACTGTAAAAGCACAAATTTGTACTTTTGATGTGGACTTTATTATTTTTTATTTTTTATTTTTTTACAGTTTTAGCCATTTAAAAAAGAAAAACGCACATTTATTCATACTTTTTTCTGCAACGTTAATATTGTTATCTATAATTTGAAACAGTTAAAATCTGCAAAACAACACATTCAAAAATTATCTATTGTTTTTTATCCCATAATAACAACAACTTTTCACTTTAAACAGTGGTGAATATCTGTAAAACAGCATATTTAAAAAAATTAAATTAAATTAAAAAAAAGTAAAAAATTATGGTCAAACAAATTACCACTTGTAAAAATACAGATTTTTGTTGTGAACATTATTTACAATTTTGTTCAGTTTCTTTGTAGTTAACATGTATATTAGAACTTTAGAACTGAAGTGTGAGTTGTTCACATTAAGATCAAACAAACTTTACCTTAATGCTTAAAAGTATTAAAGTCCCTCTCCGGTGGTTGATTTATCTCCTAAAAACTCATCTCTGTGAACCATAAAATGCTTTAAATGTGTGTCTTCCTCTAGAACACACGGCTCCTCCATCGATTCCTTCGCTTTGTTATGTATGAATCCCCAGAAGTCTAAGACTGTCATCAATACGCTGCAATTTCAAGCTGTAAATACTCTGTCATGGTGTTTGTGTCGCTCATGATGTGTCTTCTAGTGTCGTTGAAACACTATACGGACATGTTAACAAGTTGATTTTTCAGTTTCTTCAGTGGTTACGGTTACAATCTCTCGCTATAAATCAGAACTTACTTGACTTTCAGCCCTTATATGAGCAGTAAATGGTCATGTTGTGTATACTTCTCTGCAACAGCAAGTTAGCAGTAACTGGGTCAGGGTAACGACCTCCACTTGGACTTGGAAGATGACATTTTTCACTGCAACAAATACGATCTAAATGTAAACTTTCCATCAACGTCTTTGAAAAACTTTCACTTTGAACCTCTGTCTTTTTACCAGCGACCGTAGTTCACCGCAGAAGTGTTTTTCCAATGAAAAAAATACGCTCACTTGAATGTGTCTTCACCTCCGTTCACATCACAAAGAAAGAAACTGCACTGATTCGTGTCTACCTGTGTCTCGGTATGGACTTTATTTGCTCTAAAATGTGCTGTGGTTGGAGTCTGAATGCAGGTTTCAGACGCAGGAAGAGCAAAAGATGAAAACTTCACTTCTTACAAATGTTTGTTTTTGCCTTTTTTTTTTTTACTGGACAGCTGAAGTGAAGACCTGGACAGGAAACATGATGTGAAAGAGACGGATTGTACAACAAACCGGTGATGTTGCAGTGAGATGGAATGCGCTCCATAAATTCAGCTTTTAAATTCAGTTATAAAAGAGACTATTTCTGTGTCGGAGGTTACATAGTTTACACGCACGCCAGCGTTTACTCGGTCATAGTGAAAGAGTGATGTTCATTTCCCATATCGCTCATATATTTCTCTTTACATTATCATATGAACCTCTTTATATGCTCAAAATTGCAAAAAAAAAACACATTACACGTCTTGCACACACACAAAAAGCAGAACTGTCATATTGTTTCCCAGCGATGTCCAAGGACCCGAAGCTTCACGCCGGCTGACGAGCTTCATTTGACCTCGAAGAAGCATGAAGAGAAAGAAAATTAAACCACCCAAGCAAGGAAAAAAAAATCAAATAACAAAGATGAAATGGCGAGCCGTTGCAGCACAGAAACCAATAACTTCCTCTAATGTCCCCTAAACCAGTGTTCCTTCCCTCCTCCTCCTCCTCCTCCTCTCGCGCTCCCGTCCTCACCAAGCAGTTGTGGCTATCACTCTCAACAAAGTGATGTAGTGGACTAGCGGCGGTATAAATGGATTTCGGCATCCCCGGCTATTCTCCTGTCCAAAGCTTCATTTCACTCCGTCTCGGCTCCCCTGCTAAGTTCAGTAATGGAGCTTTAAATCCCCTCTGTTGTTGGGTCCTCACTCATTTTGCTACTGGGTCGATGACAGAGCTCTCGCTTCTTGTGCCACCTTGTTGATAAGACTTCACTTTGTGCCTTGAAACACCGCTGATTACTTTCCCCGCTCGCGCTGACCGGCCACCTCCCTCCTCTGAATGCGGCCGAACCCTCTCGCACTCGACTAGTAAAATGACATTAATTCTGCCTCTTTAAAGACTCTGCGGGGCTCTTTCACAGGCTGCTGTATTTGTAGTATTAAAAGGGCAAATCCTGAATCGTACTTTTGATGTGTTGCAGCAGCTTTGGCGTCTTTATATTTCATATCATCAGCTATTATTGCAGCATTGTGTTTGTGTGTGTGTGTGTGTGTGTGTGTTTTCCAGTGCATGTGTGAGCAGTCCCATTAGAGAAAACAACAGAAAAACTGGGGAGAGGGGAAGAGACGCTGTGCGTGGGAAGTTTTCTGTAGCTGTGATCATTAAGGACGGGATCGTTGTTTTGAGGGAGTCGCATCTACTTGAGTGTTTCATGTTTTCGAGTTAAACTGATGCCTGTTTTCTGGCAAAGTTGCTGCGATTATGGAAGACGTGGCCCGACTTTCAACTCATCTCACTCTTTTGTTTCCCCGCAGAGGCCTTCGACCTGGTGCTGCGTCACGGCCGTAACTCAACCCTGACAATGCTGAAGTCAGAGTTCCCGGGTCTTGGAGGCGGCGCCCAGAGCTCGGTGGGGCAGCTCTTCCTGGACATGTCGCTCTACATCCTCGGCTCGGACTCCACGGTGGACCACATGGTGGCGGTGCTCTTTGGCCGCCTCTTCCCCCTCACGTACCGCCGGCTGCTGGGGGGCAGCGGCTCATCAGTGTCTGAGGAGTGCGTCAGAGGAGCCTGGAAGGACTCGGGGGCATTTGGGCCTTATCCCAAACTCATGATGACACGTCTGTCCCGCTCCCTCTTGGCCACGAGAGTCTTCCTGCAGGCGCTGAATCTGGGCATCGAGGTCGTCAACACCACGGACCATCTGCGACCCGGCCGGGACTGCAGCCGGGCCCTGCTCAGGCTGTGGTACTGCCCGCACTGCCAGGGCATGCTGGGGCCGCCCGCCTGCAGGGGCTTCTGCCAGGCGGTGATGCACGGCTGCCTCGGGGGCGCGGCAGAGGTGCAGCCTCACTGGAGGAGCTACATCGACGGACTGGGGAAGCTGGCGGGCGCCATGAGGGGAGAGCAGGACATGGAGTCCGTGGTTCTCAGCATGCCCTCAATGATTAGACAGGCTCTAAAGCACGCTGTGAACGCCCGCAGCCGCCTCAACACCCTGGTGAGCGCAGTCCAATAACACACACACTCACACTTAGCAAGGTGTCAGACTGTCAGTGGCTCTGGATTAAAACATAAAAACACTTACACTGGTGTGGCGGACTTCCTGGAGGCTCTGGTGAGGCAACGAAATTATCACCTGCAGGAGGTCTGGATGAGTTTAAAGGCCGAGCAGATGCCAAAACAAAGCTTACAGCTTCTAACACCACGAGACAGGATTGTTTTAATCAATGCAACAATCGTCTGTGTTGTCCTCCATCTAGACAGTTTGCAAATTAAGCACTAGAAACACACTAAGAAACATCCTCTTTCACTTCAGTCGTAGCCATTAGACTCATTACTTCCTGTTTTGGTACAAACTCCTATATGTGAGAGGATAAGTGGATATTGTGTTTCCATATCCTATAAAAGCTGTTTATTCTGTGCCTATGACTGAAAAGTATACGTACGTTTGAGCCTATACAGAACCATGACCATTACGGTTCTTGTCTGGCTGAACCGACTCACTTTCCTCCTGTATGGACGACACCATGCAAAAGATTTCAAATCAGAAGTTTTCATTTTATGGACAGAAACTACAGCACTGTAACAGTGTTTGTGCTGCTTGTCAAAAACTGTCGCCTACATGTTTTTTGAGTGCATATGACAAGAGTGCATCATGTGACCTGCAGCTGTCACAGTTCATCCTCGTCTGCTAATTTACACCCCGATGGAATAATGATGCATTTTGTTAGGGATTCGGTGCGATACTACAATGCTATACCTCAAACCAACGGTTTTGTCTCCCCCGTTTGGAAGTGAAAGTGCTTCTTTTTCTACAGCTGCTTAGTCTGACTCACCAGATGTAGACTGTGGGTATAAGTCTGCTGTCGGCCGTTCATTTGAGCCAGGTTCACTTCTACTGTCTGTGTGTTACCGTTTTCAAAATCTACTTCTCTACTGGAAAGAGTGACAACCTCAGTGTTACGAGCCAGCCTCTAGGGTCAGCTGGATGTCACAGTAACCAGATGGAAATGGTTCAGGCAACACAGTTTATTGAACATAACAGAACGGTGACAATACAAAGAAAGCTGGTGGATGTTGCTAAAAATCAATGAACCAAACGAAGGCTAACAGAGTGTCAGAGCTAGCCAACAGAAAACCAAACACCTTATCCAAAATTAAATCTGATAGCAACAACCGCACATAGTAAAAGAAACTAAAAAAAACTAGTGCCTCAAAACACACAGGACGAAAAGCACAAGACACGAGTAACTTCTTCAGAACGTTGCTGCTACCGGGAGTCAGAGTCTTCACTAAGACTCTCTCGAACCCCCATACCAAGTTCGCAGCTGCCGACAGAAGTCACATTACAACAAACAAACGACAGAAACCGAGCGGCACCAGGGCGGACTGTTCACACTAAATCCCAGCCAGCCCCGACTGAAAGGTTGCTGGTTGGTTTTATAGCCAGGTGTGGTGATTGCTGGGGTGGTGGTGGTCCAATCAGATGTGACCGGAGGCGGGGAGAACAAGGACCGGAGTGCAGGTCTTCAGCTCCAGGTTAACGAGCTGAGATGACTGACAGCTGGTGTCCTGGAGCGAGCTCTCAGCCAGACACAGCTGGGCCTGCACAGGTCATCTCCATACACAATGGTCACAAGTCCACAAAAACAGCACAAAGACCATGGGCCGTAACACTCAGCAACCTGCTACACTGAAGATTTCAACCAGACCTGCTCGCTGCTAACCCGTCACTATCTTAAGTCAACACTGAAGCAGCGTCCTTGGCTTAACTCCACCCAAGACGACTGTGATTGGTTTGAAGACATACCAAAAAGCTAGAGTGTTGCTTCCCCTCCAATAGCAGGATGACAGCGTGGTGCAGCCGGACCAATACATCCTACAGCCTGAGCTGAGGAACAGGAGGAGGCGTCACCTTAAACACAGCACCGATCTGTCAGAGCGATCAAGGTTTATTGCCGTATTAATTGTTGATGAGATAATGATGCCACAGAGAAGAAAATGACACCAGCAAACGATCCCCGCTGGCTGCTCTGCTGTGTATTAAGTAGTTTTATGTTATTCACCAGCCCGTTCGCTAATTTAAGATTCAATCGTTGCTTTTCATCAAGACTAACCATGTTGTGCTTGTGTGAGCCATGTGGTCGAGGAAATTGTATGCGCCGCTTTTGCTTCTTGAACTGAGCGTTGCATCCGACATGCGTGCCTACTGAGAGCACCACAGATTCACACTGCAATAGATTTAAGGCACGTCATGGAACATTATCACAGGAAATACCATGAAAAGTGTGACTGTCACACAAGGACAAGATGGTTTAAACCCTCGATCAGATGCGCTGCAAAATATACAAGCATGGCTATTAAATAATGAGTCTTGACTTGTGTGACTTAAAACACAGCATGCGTGAAGGAACCACATTGATTAGTGGCCAAACTCCTGAAAGTTTCAATCTGCCTGAATACTAAAAACAAAAAAATATCACTTTAGCCTTTTTTGTTTAATAGCCACACATAATATATTCTAAAATGCGACATTTGCTGATTGCATTGTTTTAAATGTCGACTTTGAAACTGATGGATGCTTAAAACGTATCTATGCCTTTCCTTTTTAGGCTGTAATCCTTCCTATGGAGTTTCTTTTTTTTATCTGAAACATCAAAAACTTTTCTTGAAAGCTCCACAATCCTGCTGTCGTCTGCTCCGTCTTTGCTGCTCTGGTCGCTCACCTCTGCAAGCCAATCATTGCTGGTTAACCTAAAATGCATCACAGCCGGCACAAAGAGCAGCAGAACTTTGAATTAAAACTCTGCTATCGCTGCAAAATGCAGAGATTTACCAGCACTGATAGGCCTAATCCGCTTCGTTTGAACTCGCTTATCAGTGGCCGCAATGTAACGGACGTTCATTTACATACAAAAGTCCGGTTCACACTGCCGGCATGCATCTTTGTATCCCCGCTAGACCTGCTATAACGCGTCCTGAGTGCAGGAGACGACAGGCCTGAACATTTCTATTTTTTATTGGACCAACATACAGTTTCTCTACATCCAACCCAAGAGTGTCATCTTGGTCTGAGTTGAACCAACAAGGAGAAGCATTAGGCAGACATGTGAGGAGGAGGAGGTGGAGGAACTAGCTTGTGTTTTTCGGTTCAGTCAGACAGATGCTGCCAACACGTCTCGTTTAAACTCGTCTCTCGCTCCCCGGCTGCAGTGACCCGTTATGTGTGATTCTTCAGCTGCGATAAAACCGTCAGATTTGCTCGTAGCCCACATGAGAAGTGGGAGAGAAGTGCTCATGAAATATGAAGGCCTCTTTCTGCCAGAGTTACAGAGCTGGATGTGCTTTTGCGTCGGTGTAACTGCTGAACTTTTCACTCTCACACCCTGAATTCCCGCGGTGACCAGGTTTTCACTCAGAACCCATCATTTATTAACACACAGGTTGACCTCACTTACTCTGCAGCGCCAGGGCGTGGCGGCATCCGTGAATCCCAGACTTAGGGGGGGAAACGGCTCTCACTCTATCTCTCTGGTGTGCCAGTGTGTTTGAGATCCTTATCCAAAATTAATTAACTCCTGTGTGGGTTTATTTAAGACTGCAGTCACCACAGATCACTTTACATTGTGTTTATGGCTGTGGGTCTGGTTCCAGTATATGGGATTAAAGCTGCGATGACAGTGCATTGTTTGGCTCAGTGAAAGGTGGTGTGTGTGTGTGTGAGTGTAAGTGTGTGAGTGTGTGTGTGAGTGTGTGAGGCTTTGAATGTAATCTTGCAGAGACACTCCTCTCTCAGCGGTGTCATTGAAGGGACAGAGGCATCGTCTCCCTAAAGGCTAATTTTGTCTCACTGAGGAGTCATCGGAGACCAACCAGAATTAGACAACACCTGATTAGTTCACCTCAAATAAGCAGTTTAGCATTTAGCTGAGGGAACTTGGGGATTAAAGGACCATTGTGGTGGTGTCCAATATTTTAATACCAATCACAATGACCTCAGAGTCTGGCTTAAAATATATAATCAGCTTCTTTTTTTTTTAAGCTTATTTTTGTGTCATTTACATATTTGGTAATGTGAGGCAGAGCAGGAGCAAATTAATGATTGCTTTTGCTAATAGTGATGATACCTCCACCGTGCCAGCTGCATTCATAGATTCTTCTTAATAACTATATTTGTACAGAACTTTTTAAGTTCCAAAGTGCAAAGACAAACTTTAAATTAGAAAACATATACAGCAAATAAATAAGATTGCAAACATGCAACAAAAACAAGATACGGCAGGTCAACAGCTGCTAAAGACCGTTCTAGTAAAAAGGCTTATGAGTGGCAGTGGTTTAAGGTACTGAAGGATTTATACTAGTGGGAGCGCTTAGGTACTTTCAAAAGAGAGGATTTTTTAAAACTAACTTTGCATTATTTGTCACACCAACACAAACAAAGTTCATCGCAGGTTACAAAATATGATGTAATGTCAGAGAAAATGACAAAACAAGCATCAGGTTGCTAAGTGTACAACAGAGTCGCCAAAAGTAATGAAACATGTTCACTGTTAATTTATTACTGACGAATATTCTGCTGTGTTTTCTTTTTGCTCGTTTTTTCAGAGGAGGGTTTCCAGATGTTAACAACACCTGGCAAGACTTTATGTTTGTAGATAAATGAGACCGTTCCAGTGGAAAAAAAAAATGGTGCAATCAATGTGTTGCTTGTAGGCGATCCGTCTTTGTCAGGTTTATGTCTTCCTTCATGACCTTCATCTTGACCTGAAAGGGGCAGTCGGTCACAGCCCGGCTGTAATGACCAGACGTTTCTTTTAGGTATCGATTTCTTTTCAGTGATTTTTACAATTGATTTTGCCTTTACGTGACAGTGGACACACTGGAAATGTGTGTACCTCTACATTAATGTGGCTGCCAAAGACCAAAATTTTCAAATTAGTTAAGTTCCTCACAACTAAATATTCCTGTTGATTAAACAGAAATTTTGATTTAAATTAA